CCCCAACAATCCCCCAAAAAAAGAGCTCATTCCCCCATTTAAAAATGTTCAAAACAAAAAAAAATCACACTGAAGTAGTTAAAATCACCTTATTTTGTTAGCTACTGTAGCTCCCCTTCACTTAAACATTGATCCCCCCAACTTTCTTTGCGCCCCCTTCCCCTTCAATCCCTGGATACACCACTGGTATCTCCATGATTAATCAGCGCTTGTATTCAAGAATGTTAAAATCGATATAAATTTGCACTTTTTCTTAAAATAGGCCTATTGGTTACTGAACTGTGAATTCCACAGCTATTCTCTTGCATTTATTTGTTGTATTGCAAAGATTTAATATTCTTTTGGGATCAATCGAATGCAAACTGTAACCAAGGTACATGGAGCTAATCATGCTTTTCACCTAACCCCTCGTCCTTCTTAAATTACAGAATTATGACACATTCACAGGAGTCAAGTCAGAAGAAGTCATTTCCAGGAGATAGTTTAAACAGGCTTTCTTAGCACATCTAATAAGGGCAAAACTTCACTCCTATGATATTTCCTGATGCAAATTCACATTGTAATAGCATTTGCAGTACCCGCTGCTACTTGGGGATAGGATTCAACACTAGTCACTAAGCGCAAGCTCAGTAGTCTAGTGGTTATGGCGCCAGGCTATTTATCTGGAGGTCGTGGGTTCGATTCCCACCCGAATCACTTATTTCACAAGTATTTGGGAACGTACTAAGTATTCGGTGTGATAATGCGTCAGGTAGTGCAAAACATCACCTCTACATCTAATTCTGTTATGCTGCTAATATGGTGTTACCAATCAACACTGAATTTCATGAGACACTATAAAGGTGTATTATACAGTAGTAAAAAGCATGCATGATGCAGATTTAATGACTTTCCAGTAGATAGGTTATTTTCTGGAAGATTCTTGTCCAGTTAGTGGAATGTAGGAGGACGTCTTGCGGCTTGGGGCAGACATGGGACCCTATATTCAACTGATTCCAGTGCCTGAGTGTTCAGTCCTATAAAGGCTTACGCTTTATAACATGTCAATGATAGATTTTATCATTGTTTTGACAATACTTTTATGGGAGGAAGGGTTTAGTTTGTTCGGGAAAAAAAAAGATGGGGTGGGGGTTTTTAAGCCATAGAAGTACCTGTGGTTACAAGAATGCCCAGGTATATGTCATGCACCTCTGGTCTATGTATGTGTCTATTATGTATCTACGTTATCAACAATCTATCACTAGGTCAACTCTCTAGCACAAGACAATACATCGTTACCAAACTACAGGTCTCCCTCCAATTAAAGACCACTTTTGGGACCGGGGTTTTCATGGTCTTTAGCAGCTTTGGTCTCTAATTACAATAATAAAAATTTTTTTTAAATTGTTAATTTGGGACCACAGAAAGGTGGTTTTTAATTGGAGGTGGTGTTTAATTGGAGGGGTCATTCATTAGAGTGAGACCTGAAGTTGTGATATATTACAAATCCTATATTTGAGGATACTTGTTTGGATTTTGTACAACTGACTCATAAGAAGGTGGAAGAGGGTCTGTAGGCTGGACTGAGTATGCTGGCGGTAGTTGTGGTGGACCATGTTCGTATGGATACCCTGGTTGGAGTGGATCTGGTTGACCAGTTTGCAGTAAAAATGGTTGTTGAACAGGTGGATGAACTTGAACCGGTTGGTTGGTAGCTAATGGTATGGATGTTGTTGTTGTCCTCGATGCAGCATTCATTCTTTGTCTCCTCATGCCGCAACAACAGATGACAATGATTATTATAAATATTATGGAAATTATCACCCAAATCTCGACATCAATGGCTGTGGAAAGAAGAAAAAAACAATTGTTGATACACAATGCTATCTTTAAATGCTATCTGTAAATACGCCATGGAAAACGAATTTCCAACATCTCTTAATGTTTGGACAAATAAAAGTTTATCTTATCTTATCTTTAGAAAGATTTTAAAGAAAATACTTTCAATTTATATAAAGTATATTGCATATGTTAATATCAATATCAATAATAATAATAATAAATAATAAATAATAATAATAATAATAATAATAATAATAATAATAATAATATCAATAATAATAATATCAATAATAAAAGAATTATAATAATATTATTGTTTAAATATTTGCATGACGAAGTAATAATATATTTAATGCTTGCGCGGTACACCACATAGATAGTTCTGAAAAGGACATTTCAAATGAGTCGCTTCAATCGTCTTCAGGAGAATAATAACGACTATATATAATGACATTATCATTCTCCATGACATTATTATTTCATTTCATTTATTTGTCTCAAACAATTAAAATGTACATAAACAGAAACGGCAAAGAACAATCACAAAAGTACAAAAAACAAGAGACAGGACACTCCAAAAGTAAAATCAATCACTGTCGAGTGGAGGCCCTTCACGAGAAAAACACAAATACTTACAATATAAAATTCTTGAAAAAGATAAAAAATTGAAAGATAAATATTCTCCTGAATAATAATACAGGTCTCCCTCCAATTAAAGACCACTTTTGGGACCGGGGTTTTCATGGTCTTTAACAGCTTTGGTCTCTAATTAGAATAATAAAAATTAAAAACAATTGTTAATTTGGGACCACAGAAAAATGGTCTTTAATTGGAGGTGGTCTTTAATTGGAGGGGTCTTTCATTAGAGGGAGACCTGTAATAATAATAATAATAATAATAATGATAATAATAATAATAATAATAATGATAATAATGATAATAATAATAATAATAATAATAATAATAATAATAATAATAATAATAATGTATAGGTGTTATTTTGCCCTACCTGACGTGGAAATGTACCGAATACTCAGTACATTTGAAAACAACTGCGAAAAAAATTGCAAGTTGTTCTCGGGTGGGACTCGAACCCACGATCTCCAGATCAGGTAGGGCAAAATTACACCTATACATGTTTCTCCTGACGCAAATCCAGTTATTGTCTATTATTCCATCACGACAATAACAATTACTATCAACACTGCAGTACCCGCTGCTTACTTGGACTCGACAGGCGCAAGCTCGGTGGTCTAGAGGTATGATGCCAGGCTAGAGATCTGGAGATCGTGGGTTCGAGTCCACCCGAGAACAACTTGCGATTTTTTTCGCAGTTGTTTTCAAATGTACTGAGTATTCGGTACATTTCCACGTCAGGTAGGGCAAAAATTACACCTATACATGTTTCTCCTGATGCAAATCCATTATTGTCTATTATTCCATCACGACAATAACAATTACTATCAATAATAATAATAATAATAATAATGTATTCTGCAATCAAATACATTACAGTATTGATTGTATATACGTTGGCCTTAAGTTGGCAATAAATACTTATTGTTTTAATTGTTAACTAATTTTTTCAATCAATGTAAATATTGGCCTACGTAAATTATATTTGTATATATTTCAATTGTGAGTTATAATTATGATAGTTTAACATTATGGAGAAGGGAAAGACGAGAGATGCATGCCCTTTGGCGATAGTAGCTTTTAACGTCTTTTGTCTCTCAGCAGCTCTCCTTTTTATTTTGTTTTTTAGTATTTGTTTTTCCAAAACGAATAAAAAAATAAACATTCATTAAACCTTTAAATCCAGAGTGGTTAAGAATTTTGAGGATATATCTATAATAATAGTAAATATTTGTAATTGTATAAAGAAAGGTAATTACAATTATAGGTGCAACTTAGAGCAACAATATTGTTCCCGTAAGCGTCACATGATCCAAAATAAGTTTGTGAACATTCAATCAGTTGGTTCTCTGTTCCTGAATAGCAATCAAAGGCATATGGATGCACTTGCATTTTGGATGCTTCATCAACATGGATATCAATCGAGTATGAAGAAGCTAAGTCATAACCAAGTTGTTTGCAAGCCACATCACCTTCTTCTTGGTACCAATTCCAATCACATATAGTTCCCCACCTACCGTCCAGAAAAATTTCAAAAATTCCTTCACTATCATCAATGCCATCAACAAGACGAGCATCACCAGTTAATGGACCATCCTCTAATAAAAGAAATAATAAGCAAATATAGTCAGGTCTTGAGTACACTACAGGAAATAGAGGCCGAAAGAAATTGTAAATATTATTATGAAGTCAATCACCTTGTTATCTCATACCAATTATGCCTTTCTAGTCCTTGCCTTCATTCGTGTTAACCAGCACCGTAGAGTGCACTGTGATGTGCTGTAGTGCACACAAGATGCAACAAATCAGAGGCACTATATCGAATTTGTGATCAGTCGAGTATAGGTAAATTCAGTGCAAATGAAAATGATGACATCACACTGACTTATAATGGATAATAAGGTATACAGAATATTAACTTACATAACAGCACAATTATGTAAATTTTCTATTAGCATTCAATGGCAGATCCAGAAAAAAATCTAGGTAAGGGCCAAGCGAATTTCAAATCACCAAGCTGGGGACCGGGGGCCTGGTATTTGAGAAGAAAACGAAAGATTGAAGAGGAATAAGAAAGAAAAATGGATAGAAAGAAAATGAACTGAAGAAAGGAAGGAATAAGAAAGAATAGAAAGGAAGTATATAGAATTTACAAATGCAAGGCTAAAAAGGGATAGAACTAAAAAGAAAATAGGAGTACAAGGTATAGTAATAAAAGCAAGAAACAAGTATAGAATAGATAGAATGAATAAAATAGAAATAAATGGAAAAGTAAGTATATAATTGCAATTAAATATTTTGTTAGTAAATATATTTATTTATAACTGCAACTATAACTTTATTATTCAATACTCTTTACTTGGTAATTTCAAAATTTTGCCTCTGTATATTGGATTTTTAACTATTTAATATAAAAACATAAAAATTAGTAAATCCTTTTACTTGTCGTCAAGAGTAACTGCGCCTCGAAATAATTCGCTAGATAGACGGCGCATTATAAATGCTGTTTTATTATTATTATTATTATTATTATTATTATTATTATTTATTATTATTATTATTATTATTAATATTATTATTATTATTCTTTTTTGAGGTCGGAGGTTCAAAATTTTCACTGTGAATTTTGCTTGTGTGCTTGGGCAAGGCACTTTACCTACAGTATGTTTGTCTCTCTTCACACAGGAGTATACATGGCTACCTGGTATCCAATGTGTTAGTCTGTGTTGTGAGCTCAACTAGGAATACTCCCCACGGAGTTGCGGCGTTGCAATTTACGTAGTTATGGATCCAATGATCAGGGGATTGAGAAGGTAGAATGGAAATTTAGAACGGATTCACTCATCCATGACTGTTGCCGCTTGCGTTCTACGTTATGTTTAAATCAATTTTGACTTTTAGCGAAGCGTACACAGATACTGTATGTCATGAATGCAAAATAGTGATGCACCAATGTTTAATACAGTACCACAGTCCTCATTCTGGCCTAAACTCAGATTCGCTGACAACCATTCCAGATGTCAGGAGAGAACTTAGCTCACTACTATATTCAAACATGCGCAGCTAAATTTACATGGTGTCAATAACAGCATCGACAGTGCCTTGTTTTGCCTTGGAAAAAGGCACGGTATTAATTCCTATATTATTATAGTATAATTACAATTATGAGTGAGGTCAATCAATGGGTTAAGTCATCTTCTTTTTTTCAGTGCCTTTAACACATACCTGAGAATATATTGTAACAGCTAAGCACAACATCTGACTGGTGGTCACATCCCCATAAATTTTCAGTAGTTAACTCACAACTCTTAAGATTACTGGACAACCCCTGACCACAGTCGGCACTAAAAATGTTGATGGGGTGTGATTCGGTGTTTCCAAGTTGGTATAAATAACGACTCTGAGTGTAGACCTTCACACCAACTCCATAACCAAGTTGTCGACACACAACGTCTGATTGTTCTAGGCCCCAATTCACCCTACACACTGTTCCCCATCGACTGTTCATTTTAACTTCTAGAATGCCTTCGTTAGCAGTTTCACCCCCGACAAGACGAACACTAATGCTATCAGATTCTGTAAAATTATGTTTAAAAATGAATCAAATTTGTATTAAATTACAAAATAAAAAAAAATAAAAAACAATTTACAAATAAATAATAGTGATATATAATTAATACTGATCTAAATTATTCTCTCAATTTACAGTAATAAAATTGTTATTTATTTAAAATAGGGAATTCACTAAATTTAAAGAAAGTATTTTTTGAAAAGGTATCCAACATTTAATTAATGATTTTTACTCAAACAATTCCCTATTATTAAAGGCTTGTAATTTTTATAATATATCGTAACTTAAAATCAAATGGTATTAAAGTATACTGGACAAAAAAAAATTAACTTCCTGCAACAACAGAGATTATTAATGAAAGTTAGAGCATACGAACAAACCCTGATACATGGTGCATCTATCCAGCATTATATTTGTGTACCAAATGCCACTGAAGACTGGCCATAATGCCAGGGACCACACCTTAATCATCTCATCAGAAAGACGATGCGCTATTGTAACTTGCATTTAAGCCCTCCAACTTGTTCAACAAGTAGAGCAGAAATAAGGACTGAACCAGGAACCAACAGATCTCCACGGTTCAGCCCACAAACAGTGGCTACAACCAGTTTAGCCAACCGAGCTAAGATGTTCCCTATATTTATTGTATTGAGAGTACAATGAATTCTTACTATCAGTTAAACAGGAAACCCAAATCTTCTCAATGTTATTGCAATTATGTTCGCCCCAGTTTGAATGTGAACATTGTGCAAGGGTCAATTCTGTGCCAACACAAGCAACATCATCAAGAACAATAGAATTAGAATCGGTATAATCTGTTGCGGTAAAATAATTTCCCCCTTCAAATCCAAGTTGTTTGCACACTACATCAGTGTTATCTTGGCTCCAGTTGTCTTCACAAACAGTGCCCCATACTCCATCATGTTCAATCTCAACTAATCCTTCATGAGCAATGGAACTACCATCTAAACGTACCGGATGTGTATCTAAAATTTTAATCCAAAAAAAGATCATAGACCATTGTTATTATATTATATATTGTTATTATTCAACAATTGAGTTAAACAAAAAATGATTGAAACATAGTGAAAGACCTGATTTTGACAGTCTTACAACCCAATGTGTACACAGATTTAGGATTATGTTTTTATTGAAAAAAAAATAAATGGTTCACAGACCAAAATTCTTTTATTTGCTGCCAAAAATTTATGGATATAATATAGAGAAAAGATAATATAAAGAAAAAAAATTTTCTCATAATTTTCAGCTAGAATCAAAAACACAAATTGAAATGTACAAAATTAAAACTTATATTAAGATTTCGGTAGCAGTATATCTCTATTCACTGGTTCTGAAATAAATTGTTAAAAACATAATTGATGCCAAGATGTGTTTGAACTTTTTTGAAAACACATCTAAATGCAATATTTATCAAAGTATGATTCTTCTTAAAGTAAGTTATGTCGTAACAGGTTTCTACCCATTCTCAATCCCCACAAAATAAATAAGGTATGTAACATCCTCTAAACATGTTATCATGTCTGAAGTATATGGATTTAATGGCCTACTGTATATATTTGAAATGAAATTTGATGAGAATGTGCGATCCAATGGTTGCAGGGGTCCCAAGCTGGAAGAAATCCCATTCGGAGAAACTGGTTAAATTAGCTTTTTATTTTGGTGCGCATGGTGATAGCCTTCGGCACTGATTTCCGTGTGACAATTGACATTAAAGTAGTAAAAACATGCAAGTATTATGAATTTGTAGGAGATCGGATGTTTTTGGGGAGATTCTTGCTTGCTTAAGGGAGTGCGTGAGGTCATCCCTATTTCCGGGAGACTTCCGCGACTTCAGGGGAACTTGGGACCCCTGTGGATGAAGAACCTACTATACGACAGAAACCTACCACCAGTGCATTCTACTCCGACATCTTCGTCATGTGTACAGCTATGCTGACTAGTGGATGGGCAAGCAGAAAGGTGTTGTTCTTTGCCAGTGCATTCAACATCATCAAGCCATATTGGCGAACTATCCCGTGCTCCACCAACACCAGTAAGTACTTTCACAGCATTGCCTAGGTTCAGCTCACGACAAACAACGGTGGCATCCAACATGTCAAAGTGATTGTCACAGACTGTTCCCCACTGACCGCGGTACAGGTACTCTAGTCGCCCTCTGGTGTCGGAATTTCCAGCCAAACGAATGGGGTTCAATGCTAGAATAAAATTAATGTCATAATGTAGTACTGTTTTATTAATGTAATAAAAGTAGAACTGTATGTGGAAGTATAGCACATCAGTGAAGTTCTAGGCCTTCATGTCAATATCAACTGCAGACTGAGCAGCTTTCTGTGTGATGAGCCTTGGAGATCATGATAAACTTTCTCTCCAGTTCAATTCTATCAGCCGCTCTCCGTTTTTCAAATGGAGGGTTTAAATGCAATTTTTTTCGCAGCACATGAGATGTTAGAGCAATTAGCCCTGTGTGCAATATTTCACATATAGGCCTAATATATATGCATGTTAAATTACGTAGTACTACTATGGAATGAGTTGGGTATTGTCTCCTGGTGTACTGCCCATTTAACCACCAAAAAGACCTCACTGGAAATAAGTCTTAGGACTTTCATGGGTCATCCTTGATGCATTTCAAACTGGTGAAATCCAACCCATTCAAATTCATCAAGTCAATTGCTTGGTAAAGAAACAAAATCTTGATGGTTTGGATAGCATTAAATCGAAGTACAGTACCAAATGGCTAAGATATTTTTAATTAGGTTCTGGTCAGAATGGATAAACCAAAATAAGTCAGAATTTTTATATTTTTTAATTACTTTAAATAAAACCAATTTTATTAGGGCAGTGTCCCAATTGAAACATTTTTACTGGTAAATTTGTCCATAAAGGCTGAATCAGGATGACTCAAAAAAACAAAAACACACAGCCAGCCTGGCATAGACTGTAATGATGTTCTTATTGAAAAGAAGGCCAGCCTAGGTTTTTTTTTTATTTTACAAATACAAAATTTTCATCGGTTAGCCGGTTATCGGTTAGCTAATTCAAATTTACAATAATCATAGCAGTATGCAGTAACAGTAGAGAACTTACCAGAGATTACAACTGTAAAAAATAATGAAAATAAAAATGCTGTAGGCCTGAACATAACCTTGAAGTGCTCCATTGAATATAGGCCTATTATCCTTGATTACTGTAAAATAAAAAAATAAAAATCAATACATACCATGAAATTTATTAAGAAATAAAAACCACAAGTTTTTTGTTCGATCTAAACTAAAAAATATCTCCTTGTTAATATTAATACGGGACAAAATAAATTATGTATCATATAATTTGAAATATACATTTGGAAAAGTACGTGTTTTAAATACTGTAATCCAATAATTTAATAATAATTTAAATACCTCATGCACAATGTTTTGCATTAAATAAAATAAATGAATAAAAATAATAGCAACAGTAATAATAAATTAAAACTTTTAAAAAAATATAACATAAATAACTATATGGACAAATTTACCAGTAAAAACAATCCCGCTATAAATTATTATTTTTCAACTAAAATTTTCACAATATAAATTCAATGGTATTAATGGTCAATGAGTAAAACCAGGGAGTTGTTATAGTGTCACTATATAACCCCCTGGTAAAACATTAACAAAATAAATAAATAGATAAATAAAATAAAAATGGATAAATATTAATAGTGGGGAAAATTTATTTAATTTTTTGTTAATTAGTTTAGGGTTAGCTAGGGCCCCTGGAGGCCTTTGAATTCTTTGATGTAGCCTAGGCTAGGCCTAGTCTACCAGCTGAGCTGACTGTGAGGTCCGGACCGAGTTGACGCTGACCTAACTAACTAAGAGGGCCTACTAGCTAGACTACTAGGCCTAGTCTAAAACAGAACGGATTATTTAACATATTTAGATGGAAACAAACAAGATACGCAATAATACATTACTTGTTCAAGCACTGTCAGTAGGCCTAGCCTAGGCCTACAGTTTAGGCCATTGATTGCCACATTGCTTTTGACTGCTGTTTTTCCACACATCAAGTGGTCGCCGCCACCGCGCCCATCATATCAGCTAGTGGTGGACAGTCTTTGTCCTAAACGCGTTGGGACAGTATCGCCCGTCACTTAATTGAAGGGGATTTCCCTATGACGTATGGGTACACCTAGCTCATAGACAGTGTCGGATTTTAATGAGCTGCTGTAATTACGCATGGGCATGTGAAATGAGATAACAGAAAGGGCGAGACCGACAACAGTTTTACAAATTTACACTAACTAAAGATTTATTATAATTATATGTAATGTTTGTTGTTTTTGTCCTTGTGTGAATTGGCTTAATTCCTTATGTAAATGTCTTCTTAGTGTTTGTTTTCCTCGTGTGTTGTCCTTTTCTTACGTTAATAGATGTTTTTCTTTTTGTCATAATGCTAACTGATTTTGGTGTGTTGTCCTTTTCTTGATGTACGTTTAGATGTTTTTCTTTTTGTCATAATGCTAATTGACTTTAGTTTGAATATTATGCTAATGTATCTTTGTCTTTTTCCGAATGTACGTTTTGTCGTGATTAATTGTTGTTGATTTTTTTTTCCTACTGTGTCAGTCACGGTCCTTTTCCTGTGTTTTGATTTTCTAGCTTGTTGCATTTTAATGATATTTTATTTTTTAATAATCTTGTATTTTGTACATTTTGTAAATCTACTCGCAATTCAGTTATATTTTACTGCTATGAGTTTTGATAATAAAAACAGAATGAATAAAAACAGATTAATTATATAGATAAATTAAGTAATTCTGTAAAAAATGTCAATACTTGATCTGGTTTAGCTATCATCGCTCAGATGAAATCATCAGATCTAAAGTAAAAAAGGAATGTGAATGTTCAAAGAGTCACTTGTTTTAAAGTGAAAATGTTTTAAGTAAAAATTGTTCGATGTCCTACACCATCCATGCTCTACACAGCGTCCCACGAATTGTCTTTGGCTGGTAACAGTGTGCTGAATTTGTAATTTGTTTGGTGTTGGACGAACGGTAGAACAAGAAAATTTCTTGTGTTTTATTAATAAACAAAATATAAATTTACATGTGATTTTTTTAAGGAAAGTCTGATAATTTTATGAATATAATTATTATCTTTCTTGATACTTGCTTGCTTGCTAAAATAAAACAATGTGAAGGAAATTTGGGGTGCCTGTGGCAGTGTGGAAGGTTTTTCTCTGCGTATCCCGTACGCCAACTGCCTCGCACTTTTGCACACGTACTGTACGACGCTTCAATGGACCGCGGTAATACTAATGGGAATATTTTAACCCTTCCATGTTCTCCCCTCCCCTTTGAACCGGACATAGGCGTAGATCCCGGGGGATGGGGATATATCCCCCCAATATTTGACAATGGTCCATTGTATCATCCCCCCTCCCAATATTTTGACTATGTATGGGATAAAATGGAGCTTTACACACATAAAAATACTGTCACAGAAATAATTTGCACTGTCTTATGCGCTTACAAAGATGAAAATTAGCATAATGTATAATGTTGATAACAAAATTATTTTATCTGTTACCAATCTAAGCTCTTCTTTCCTTAGATGTTAGATGTGCTTGCAAAGAGAGCCACATTTCACACTAACGAGTGTGTACGACATCAGTAATGTTACGTCAATTCCAAGAATGTTTAGGGTTATATCGGTTGATGAGGAATTTATTGATTAGGCCTATAATAGCAAATTGCATCAATTTATTTAGCAAAAACAAGGTTTCCAGCTTCAGAAGGGTGCACATCCCCTGTCCGCACAAGGGCACACATTGGCGCTAACACCAGGCGCGTAACAGGGGTCTTGGTTCAGAGTGGGTATTTATTTTTTTAATTTTTTATTTCAACCATCTTTAAAGAGGGTAACCCTTCTAGTTTAGCCCAGTAGGTTAACTGATATTCAGGGACCCTCTTTAATAAAATTAAAGAACAGTACAAACAACATCATTACCTGTCTCTTATACACATCTAGATGTGTATAAGAGACAGCAATTACACACTAGATCATAGAAACGCGTTTTCCACGCAGTGCTGTCCTTTCGGCGCACAGATAAACCTGGATTTGAGCTAAAGTAAGTTTCCACTACCATTGGAATGTAGGCCTTATGTGCAAACAGAAAGCAATACATTAATTACATTTGATATAAGTACCGGTAATTGTCATGTTATTTTTCATGAACTTCGGTTTCAGTTTTCGAAAAGGCTATGATCATTTATTTGATATCGGCACAGGAGAAACCAGTCCTAGGGCCTGGCTAGGCATAGGGGCTAGGCTAGGCTTTTATGGGAGACGGTACAATTTATTTAGTTAGCTCGGCCTAGCATTCGAAGCTAGGCCTAGGCCAACTTAGGAGTTGAAATGATTGGCAGAGCTGTAGAGTTTATAGATACACTCTTACATACACATATACTAACACCTAGTCCTAGCCCTAGGGCCTACCCATATTAACACACCTAACTGTCCTAACAGTACTATCTGTGCCCGAGACTTGCCACACTCTTCACTTCTCATTGTGGTATTCTGGTAAGTCAAAGCAATTTAGCTGTGTATTCACTGTTAACTGTGTACATCTGTATTCAACAACTTCTGCTGGAGACCAACTGTCTGTCTTGGTGCCAGCCTGTTTTTGAGGTGGATCGTGTGACGTCACCTAAATCTGAGGGATGCCTAATTGGATATCCTGGATATGGTTGTTATCAGGTGATTCCCTAGGGGATATGACCGGTTGAGCCGCCGACAAGTTGAGCCGCCGGTTATTTCTATGGAACGCCAAGCGCGTCTCTCAGTGAATGTAGTCGGCTTGCCCCGGATGCTACATATTCATCCCACAGCCTTGTCAGTCGTTGATTTGCTCGTATTGCCATTCGTGATGTATAAGTTGTGTAATTGAAAATTAGAATTTTGATTATTTTATGTACTACATTTTTATAAAAATAAATGAAGTTGTATAATTGCAAAATCGTTAATAGAGCATTAATAAAACAGTACCGGTAATAAGTAAAATTAGTAAAACCAATTTGATTTTAAATAGACAGATGACTATAAACAATAAATTTGCATGTGTTAGGCATGTTATTATACAGTATTTACTATGGTTTTGTAATTTATATATTTTTATTTTTGTACTATTTGTAAAACTTATATATAATAATGATAAGAATGTATGGAGTTTTTGTTTTTTACTATCTGGCAAGCCGACTGAATTAGACATACATTTTTAATACGAATGACTATGAACAATAAATTTAAATGTGTTAGGCCTATGTTATTATACAGTATTTACTATGGTTTTTTTAATTTATATATTTTTATTTTTGTACTATTTGTAAAACTTATATATAATAATGATAAGAATGTAGGGAGTTTTTTTTTGTTGCTATCTGGCAAGCCGACTGAATTAGACAGATGAATATAAACAATAAATTTAAATGTGTTAGGCCTATGTTATTATACAGTATTTACTATGGTTTTGTAATTTATATATTTTTATTTTTGTACTATTTGTTGAAATTATATATAATAAATGATAAGAATGTATGGAGTTTTTTTTTTACTATCTGGCAAGCTGACTGAGCAAATACTCAAAATTTAAATTAAAACGATAGAAAGAACAAGTAAATAAATTGAAATACGTCCCAAAAATATTTAATAAATTAGTGCAAAAACCGAGTATTAAATAAATTGAAATAATTGATTGATATTTTTATTTTTGTACTATTTGTTAAACTTGTATATAATTAATGATAAGAAAGTATGGAGTTTTTTTTTTACTCTCTGGCAAGCCGACTGAATTAGACAGATGACTATAAACAATAAATTTAAATGTGTTATGCCTATGTTATTAAACAGTATTTACTATGGTTTTGTAATTTATATATTTTTATTTTTGTACTATTTGTTGAATTTATATATAATAAATGATAAGAATGTATGGAGTTTTTTTTTTACTACAGTATCTGGCAAGCTGACTGAGCAAATACTCAAAATTTAAATTAAAACGATAGAAAGAACAAGTAAATAAATTGAAATACGTCCCAAATATTTTTAATAAATTAGTGCAAAAACCGAGTATTAAATAAATTGAAATAATTGAGTAAATAAACTGAAATACATCCCAAACAACAGTACCAAGAACGAATAAGTTAATTGAAATACGCCGCAATTAACGCACTACATTCACTGAGAGACGCGCTTGGCGTTCCATAGAAATGACCGGCGGCTCAACTTGTCGGCGGCTCAACCGGTCATAATCCCCCCACCGGCTGGCAATACAGGACTGTAGCCATGACAGTGTTATAAAATTGAATATGGGGGAGGAGAGGTGTGTGAGTGCTGGACTGTAAAGTAAGGCATGCGCAAGGAACATATCATCCGTGCAAAAATTATGCATGAAAATCCATCTGCGCATTTGAAAAAATAAATAAAGGCCAATTTCTACGCATATTTTGCCAAAAATTAGGCTTTTTGACCTAATAAAATCTATATAGGCCACGTATATGTGTTGTGTTATATTACGATTCCGCACAAATTTTAGCTAGGCCTAGTGTTTGGGATATCAACCGACAACTGCACAATTTGAATTAGAATACTATACATAAATAGTATGGCACAAGTGTGCAAAGTTGGACGAACCTGCCAGCCTACTACTCAACTTTATTGCCCAAATACTAGCGTAATGGTAGATTGCCCGTTAAAATTTATAAATCTTCCTTTCAATCTATATTATGGCAAATACAATTATGTACAGTTCATTCCCTGCCAAACCTTTTCCAGTTTGGGGGAAAGAGGTGTACCCATCGTTTCTCCTTCCTGGATGTGAGCCTACTTGGTGGTTAAAATACTCGCCTGTCAGTCCCATTGTTCTGGGTGTCCTCTCTACTCCCCCCAAAATAGGAAAAAAATTGCACTCAAAATTGTTAAAAGTCACCTCATATCACTCTATTCTGCCAGTAGTCCCCCGTCACTTAATCATATAGCCCTCCCACTTGACATTCACTCTCCAATCACATTAACCTTATTAATCAATACTCCTAGATAAGTTACCGATTGTAATTCACATTATTTTTTTTTATTAGTTTACAGATAAGGTAAAATATGCAACTGAGAAAATGGAGTCATATGACGAAGACATCTCAGAGAATAAATTCTATCAAACTCTTCAGAACAAGTACAAACATTTGTATGATAGAGCGGCTGAATCAAGATGGATGGTTTGTATATATTATAACTATATTATAGTGTTTAAATATGTATGCCAATACAACACTAGTATTCAAAGTATACAGGTTTTAGCAAACATGAGATCAAATGTGAAAAACTTAAAGCATCTTCAACAAAACAAGATATCAGAAGGGATACTTTTTTATATGCGGCAAAGACAAGCCAAACCAGTCACTCGTCGCAAAATTCGATTTTGAGTTATTAATACAATGTCAGAGAGTAAAATAATAGCTATAAATTGGTAAAAAAATCATTCAAATCGGACATTTCCTTATGAAGTTACAAGCGTTTAAACCACACAGCTGTTTAAAGAACAATATATGAGAAATCAGCCTTCAAAGTTTATGATTCGAGGCATTCTCATGCTTTTAAATCCTTAAAAAAGTGTTGTTTTAACATTCAAAATGGGGTAAATAACAGCATAGAATGATGTGTAGATATATAAAGGTTAGTTTAGTGCAATAAAATAGATTTTTAAAAATTTGACATTCCATCATGTTTTGGCAATTTTCTCTGAAACACGATTTGCGACGAGTGACTGGTTTGGCTTGTCTTTGCTGCATATACAAATAAATGTTATGCTTGAAAAGGATAAACTCTAAATTGTCTGATGTCCAATTTTTTTCGCACTCACAGACTCCTCTTATCATATAATGTTAGAAACAGTGCTCAATTATGTAAAGTTCATATCATTGTATAGTAGAATATATTTAATTTTTCGTTAGCATATGTACAGTATTACTACAAAAAATTTTCCAGATATGTGTTCCGAGGTCCGGTGTATTTTCAAGGTATTCGCTGACGGTCACTGATTATGAAAATCATATCTTGAGGCCATCAACACTTGGAAAGGAAAACACTTTTGTCAGTGCCAGTGGAAAAGTGAGTTTAAAAGACCTGCGTTTCATTTGTTCTACTTTAGTTCTGCTGAGTAAAGGGAAGTGTTAGTGGTGACGATAGTGGCAGAACACCTATAGTTTTTTTATGGTCCAGTATAAGACACCCAGTACCAGCAAAATTAAAAAAGTGTAATACAAAGTTTTTAACTCATTGATGTCTAAAGCTGGGGACTCACTGATTCTATGGAGAACGCAACACCACAATGCGCGCGCAACGTATCGTTATTAATGATGATCCATTCAGACTGCCACCGAAATCGGCCGACGGCGTAGCATCATCTAACGCTCACAGGGAGAGGAGTTGGATTCGTTATACAATGCAGCGAGCATCCAGCTTTAAACTGGTACTGTTGTGAGCATTTATATTATGCCTTTTCCTTGCGGTTATAAAGCGACGCCAATTCTCTTCAGGGGAAAACCTCAATTTGCAGCATGTAATACAGAATTAAACAGGAATCAAGGGCACCACAACTGTATTGTCAAGACAATGTGGACTCGACATTCACCACTTCTTTATACAATGTCAATTCCTGACCAAATGTTCCACAGCTCAGTAAGGGCTTTAAATATGTTGATGGTTGAGATAATGATGGGGGTGATGATGATGGTAATTGTAATGTTACTGAGAGTGGTGATGATACCATGGTGATGATACCATGGTGATGATACCATGGTAATGGTTGGGTTAGGATTGTTTGTGGTGATGATGATGGTGGTGGCTATTATATTTGTAGTGATGGTGTTGTTATTGATGGTAGGTGTGTTTTTGACGGTGGTGGTGCTGGCGATGTGCTTATAATGGTCATAATGATGGTAATGATGGAGATTATGACGATGATTGTGATAATGATGAAATTCTAAAGCTAATCATTTGTAGTTAATTGTATTAAATTATTATGTTTGTTGCAGACTGTGAATTTTTCAAGTGACCACATTCAAACAAGTTGTGGATTTAAAGAAGAAAGAAAGGTATGTTTAAAGGATATTTAATAATTGTTTCTCTTTGTAACTTGATAATTGTTTCCAATTTAAAAAAAAAAAAATTGTATTATAACAATGACTTGTTGGCTGCCAAGACTTTTCTCCTTCTTGTTACCCATATTTCATAACGAAAATTATTCTCATTTAAAATGTAATGAAACACAAACAAACATACTTTATTTATTTATAGATCTTTTCTTTTGGGTTCTTTCCTGGACTGCCAGGGCAAGAGTCAATAATCTGGCTACCACTGACAACAAGTGTATATGCAGTACCCCCCTACCCCAACCCCTATCACCTCTATGTTTGGACTGGTGTGGACGTGAACTCATGCCCCTGGCAATTTTCTTCAGTGTGCTTAATTATATTATTAATTGAAATATAATACTGAAACAGATACTGGTAATCCATCTGGGCCTTAATTATATATGATATTCCCTTGGCGTATTAACATGGCAAATACTTGTTTAATATCTTAAAATGATTGCCTACTGCACTGGCAAATATACATCTTTATTTTATCTACCATACTGTATACAACTTAAAACTGAAATGTCAATTGAGTTAAAACCATTTGTGATATCATTTAACATCATTCCACAAAATTCTTAAAAATTCTCTATTCTTGATGGCTCGATGGAACACTAATTTTTAAAAGGTTGTATATTACAAAGTTATATAATAATAATACTTTATTTGTCCTCCATTCTAACTGGAAATCAGAAATTTATGCTGGGCCCTTGGGGAATCTTGGCAGACACAGTGCTAGGCCTGGAAAAAATAATTTTGTGCCTATGACCATGAAAATTATCTTGATCAAATGCCTCCAACATAATGTGTTAGCTTTACACTATTATAGCTAAACAGTAGTACATGTAGTAGTTTGAAGCAACCATAAATATCAAATTTCATTACTGGTATGCATTAAATTGTGATGTTTAACAAAAAAACAAAAAAAACCTTTTTTTTTTGTTTTTGTTTTTGTTTTTTTTTTTCTTCTATTCATTCTCCGGGGTAATGGTCGATGCCACCAACGGCCGGTTGTGCACTTTTTCCAGCCCTACATAGTGCAGCCCCACCTGACTTAACATCTGAGACAAACATTGGCCTTAACCTGCCTAACTCTCAATATAAGGGTTATTGAGGAGCCAAGCGATTAGACTCAAATTAAAACTGGACGCGGGCCGGTTTGAACTAGGCTCTTCAGCGTAGGAAGCAGGACCAATAGCTCTCAGCCAACCGCTCAGGTTAGCTCATAAACAAACAAGTGATTTGTTTGGAGGGTAAATTTCCATTTTTATATTCTTTGTGATGATACTTGAACATAGTTTTTTTTGTATTGATATAGGTGAAGGTATTGTTTGAAGAGACATACTTCAATAGTCGTGATGAAAGTTTCAAGGTTCTGTGTATTGATAGGCTTTTGGAAGGTGGAACAGGTATTAACAATTTAGAACATCTGCCTCATGCTGCCACCCAGTGGTGTATCCAGGAGTTTTTTATTGGGGGGGGGGAGTTGGGTGGGGGTGGGGCGTGTAGGTGAAGTGGGGGTTAAAGCGGCTTGATAATGTGCTGATGGGCTGCTAGCCTGCAAAATAAGGTGACTTGAGTTGATTTTTAACTAATTGGGCATGATTTCAAACATTCAAACATTTTCTTTTTTGGAGGGGGGGGGGCACAAGTATTTTTTTGCCTCAGGATACGCCACTGCTGCTACAGATAGTCATCTGACTGGCTTTGCTCATGACAAGTGTTCTCACATATTTTCATCGCAATGGCTTTTATATACTAATTGAAGATGGAAGACAATGTGAAGTTTATGTTGTTCTTGCTTTATCTTTTTATTATCTTTGTGTTTTGGATTGTCAGTCAGGACTAATGATGGGCATCATATGATATATATGCTGTAGTATGTAATTGTTTAAAACACATATTTTACTATTTATATTCTGCAGATGCAGTTGAAGACCCTATCACAACAAATCTTGAAAACTATGAGGACTGTGCTGAATATCTGTGGGGAAATAAATGTAAGTTTTACATGACAAATACATGTAACCTGCCAATGCATTATATAGGTGTGATATGATGTCATGCTGCCTATATATGGGTGTGATATGACATCATCACACCCATGTATGAGTGTTATATGACATCATCATGCCTATATATGGGTGTTATATGATATTATCATGCCCATATTTTGAGCAAATTTTCAAGAATAGGCACCTTGATGCTCAAACTTTTCACTTTTAGACTCTTATGATTGCATTCCTTGACAGGGGAATCCAGCTCCCCGAATGATGTCCTGTGCCCCCTCAAGCCCCTCCCGAATCTGCCACCTAAAGTGATCAGTTCAAGTATTCAGCTTTATTATTATATAAAGTATTTTATTATAACTGTAAACAAGAATGGAATGTCCAGAGAACAGGGCCAGGATAATATGTGTTTACGTATGTTGTCGTTTTCTGGAGCCTTGGCAACAATACCCAAGGGGCAAGGCTTAGTGGAAAGACCCCTTACATTTTAGTATCTTGCATTTAATCCTGTGTCTTACCTTTTTCCTGCAGATAGTAAGGCATGTGAAAAACAAGTGAATGATTTGCTACATAACTACCAGCCAGTTCAGCACTCCACTAACTTGCGGCACATCATCGATGAGACGAATACAATATTCGCAAAAGCAATGAGGATTGCGCTCAGAGACCCTGTACTGGTGAGTAATCTAGGCCTAGGGCCTGATAGGTAGGCTAGGCATAGCTAGAGAGTAGCTAGGCCTACGCTAATTTAGCCTATTGTACGACGGGTGACGTATAATTAAAATGAACTGTAAACAGAATTACATGAAGTGTATCTGCCATGGACCAGCTGATTACACTTTGATGACATACCAACAGACTCCTGTGCATTAGTGATATGACACCTGCCTTAACATTGAGAAGGTTTAGGTTCAATTCCCGCCAGGAGCACTTTTTCATACAAGTGATAAGCGACTCCAATTTGTTTAAAACAGTGTTCAGAGAGACCATCTTTTATAGTATTTTAGTTTACTTTTTTTTGGAATCCTTTTAAGAACCATCTTCAATTGTAATTTCTTTTTTGTTTTGTAAGACTTGTTTAATGAGAGAAAATAAATGAAATGAAATGTATACTGAGTCATGGTAGTGAATATATAATTAATTGAAGGTTGAAATGTACATACAGCAGAGAAAATTTAACTGACCTTAAATTTTGATGAGCAAATGTTTTAAATTGAAGGGACTATGCTTGATAGAGTCATAACATTTGTTCCTATATTTGAACAAAATTTTTTTTTCTGGTACTTATTTCATTTTAATCTATTAATATTTTTTTCCTCCAAAAAATTTGCAAAACCTTTTAGAGAAAAACTGTTAAGCAAGATAAAGCATACCTGGATCTGCTTAAAGTTGCTATGGAAACCTATGTGATGCATGGTGTGTATAAGAAGGTATTTAAAGTGCTAAGCAGCCTATTAGCAAATGATGTAAGTTTCCACCACTATTTTCATTGTGATATGCCTAAATATGCTCATGATGACATCACATTATGACTATATATAGGCACATCATGAATATGTATGGGCAGACAACAGTTTTTTGTCAAAGAAAATTTGATAATATGGATATTGCTATATTTATTTTATTTCATAATGAATTAATTTTGTTGGATTGTATTATTTTATTTACTGTCCAAAGTGTGCCATAGTTAATGTTCTCTTTGCTTTTATTGTCCAGAATCGGCAAGGAGGAGGGGGTGAGGGTATCAGCCTTTCACTCTTACAGTCCAGTGGCAGGCTGTCAAGGAATGGGTCTCACAACTTCTTTGTTATACTTTTGTATTTCAATGTTTTAATTGAATATTTTAGAATTGTTTCTGATTTCATTTGAACACAGACTGTTAAAAAGATGAATTGCTTTGTGTTTATTTCATTTACTGAATAAATTTACTTTACTTCATGTAATTGTTTTTTTTAATTTTTAGGATGCTGCTCTTAATAAAACTACACGAAACTTGTCCGAACTGCAAGTCAGACATTTAGGAATTCGTAGCGAGTTTACGATGAATGTTCCACGTGCTCGTAGAGAGCTAGCCAACTTAAATCAATGTTGGACACCTCTTGAGAAGCTTCATTGCCTGAGGAAAACGGTAATGGGCCTAAGTCAGCAGAATATGAAGACTAAATCAAGTCAGTCAGGTAGGTAATAGTGTATGGGTTTGGTTTATTGTGGTTTATTCAAAGGGAGTGTGGAGAAGGGGGAGAGATAAAGAAACATAAATACATTTAATGCTGACTAGATGCCTACATATATCCAGTTGTAGCGATACAACACTTCATTTATTTATTTATTATTTTTATTATTGATTTTGTTGCTGCTTTTACCACTGCTACTACTGTTGCTTCTGTTATTAATATTATACAACGTTACACTGCTGGGAAATTCCATGGCTGATTATAACAATGTGAATGCATTAGACAATATACTAATAGTATTTACTTATGGTTGTTAATATTGTTTTTGTTGTTTAATTATTGTTTTATTTATGTTGTCACTGCTGTAATTGGTAATAATTTCATATTGGTTTTTATATATATATATATATTGCTGATGTTGTTTTAATTTAATAATTTATAATAGCATAATGATATTTTTTTAAAAAGCAGCATACATGGTACATCAATTTGCTAAACAATCTCCATGTGTATCTATTCCAGAATCGTCTGTTGTTCTGTCTTCTGATGATTTACTTCCAATTTTAGTGTTTTTAGTCGTCAAATCTGAAGTACCTAACTGGCTTACAAATTTGGCTTATTTGCATAATTTTAGGTTTTCGAGTATTCACAATGATGAATTTGGGTAAGTAGTTTCTTGATTAGATTTATTTTGAGTTCTTTTTTTTTTTCGTGACTGAAAACAACTCCACATCCTTACAATTGTTACATGGAGATGTAGAGGGTTACCCTGATGCTATTGGGTAGCCCCTGTCATTGTGGAATGATTTGAACATGTAGCTAATATATATAAGTGCCTGTTTACAGCAACTAAATAGTCACAGACCACTCCCATGCGCAATTCAGCACAGTGGGGCTTCGAGTAATGGGTTATTCTCTTACCTTTAACCCCCTACCTTTATTGTTAAATTTATTATTATTTATTTATATTATATTTTTTCTTTATTTTATAGATTTTACTTAGCTTCTGTAGAGGCTGCAGTAGAACATGTAAGGTCTGGTGACATGGATGGCCTGCCCATTGGACCTGCTAGTACTGCATCCTTGTCTATTTTTAGCATGAGTCCCACTAACGGTTCAATATGGCCTAGGACAGACTCTTCCGATGATACAGATACCCCTTCAATAGAACTGTTGTTCGAGGTAAGTGTTTCCTATTAGTCTGTATTTATTCTACATTTTGTAAAATACCAGTGATTATACACTATAAATAATAATGTTTAGTTAATATAAAATGAAGAATGAGTCATAATAATGAAATATGCCTAGGTAATAAAATTCATAAAGAAAATAAGACATAAGACTGTATTTATTTTACAGTTTGTAAAATACCAGTGATTGGCTTATCGTTAAATTCGCTGATGATACTACCGTGACTGGCCTTATTCAGAACAATGATGAGCATAATTATCGCGCACAAGTTGAACAACTAATTGAGTGGTGTAATTACAACAATCTTAAACTAAATGTTGTAAAAACTAAGGAAATAATTGTTGACTTTCGGAAAAAACAAAATATAAAAGAACCACTAATCATCCAGAATTCTACTGTTGAAATAGTTAATTCCTTCAAATTTTTGGGTACATATATCACAAATGACTTAAAATGGGGGGAAAACGTACATCAGTGTGTGAAAAAGGCACAGCAGATATCAATCACTAGTGACCGGGAGCGGTAGATCTCTACATAGTTTCTATCCCTCCGCCATTAGGGCATTGAACAAGTCACTTCAGTAGTTTGAATTTTCGTATTTTATGTTTGTTTTTTTGTTAGGGAACCAGACCGAATTTCATTGTATGTGTATTGTACATGTATATATTACAAATAAATCTATTGAGTATTGAGTATATTGAATATTATACACTATAAGTAATAATGTTTAGTTATATAAATATACAAATAATATGAGATATTATACTATAAATGAAAAATGAGCCATGATAATGTAATAAATATGCCTAGGTAATAAAATTCATAAAGAAAATTTTTAATTAGATTTTGTAAATATGCTAATGTAAAAATATTAGTATTAACATTGTCACAGATACAACAATGATAGCTAGAGGGACATTTTTACATATACTTAGAAAGAATAAATACAATTTTATTTTTGGACAATAAATGCATCCAGTGCCACGAAAAGATGGAAATTTCAGAGAAAAATAAAAAGTTTTTCTTTATTTTTATTATGCCTGCTGCTGCCTTGGAATCTCCAAAAATAAAATAGTGTATTTCTTCTAATTAAATAAATTTAAGACATTTAACCATCCCATTACTACACTGTTCACATTCACTAATAAAATGTTCTTTTTATTTTCTCTTTTTCTGGATGTTTTTGGCCACATTTTGCTTTATGAAAAAAAAAAAATTATTTTTATTGTTTTTCTGCCCTTCTCTGACAATCTTTAAAAAAAAAAATTTGCAAAACAAGGTATTGAAAAAGAAGGAAGATTTAACACTGCGAAGAATTTTATTAAAGGGTTATTAACTGGGACATAAAACAGGGAAATAAGATCAGTAGTCCTATTAAATTTTGAGTATAAACATTTAAATCTCCTGAATTCTCATGAAATATTAGAAAGTGAACAAGGCGTTTGAATTGCTCCAAGAAAATGTTTGAACTGGTAGATTTTATATTCTAGAGGCTTAGCAATTTGATATTGAATAAAAGATAACTGGATGAGAAAAACATCATGTGTAAATTTAGTGGATGGAGAGAAGATTCGTTGCTTCTGTATTTGCTATAAGATCTTATATTGGCAATCTAATCAATGTTAATTTTACATTTGAAAGAAATATTATTAAATTAATTTATGTACTTGTTTCTTCCCAACAACAGGAAATAAGACAAGGTAATTTGGAGAGTGTGGAAAAGTTACTAAACAAGGGATCTAACGATTATAGCCAAATCATGGAGGAAATGTGTCATCCGCTTTGTGGATGCGATCGATGCGAGAAACTGATTACAAGGTATGTCATTAAATAATAAACCTTTGTAGGTAGAGTATATGATTAGCCCAACCCAGAAATGAGCATTCTGTGTATGTTTAGCTTTAAATCTAGGTGGAGGTTAGGCATACTACTTTAATTCATGAATAAAGATTTTGCAATGTTTTTTCTTGAAACATTAGTAAGAGGAATGACCCCAAGGCAGTGACAGCCTTTTCCAGGGATGATAGGGGATGTACAGCATTGCATATAGCTTCTTCATATGGTGAGATTATAATTTTCAGTTTACTTATGTCACTGATAATACAGCCAAATAATAAAAATATTTCCTTTTGTGTTGTCTTTGTCATACCAATTTTGTTGTTTTTATCTTCATCATATCTGTTTGTATGGCCTTATATCTCATATTTTAGTCCATGTATTTGTCTGCCACTAATAGTAACATCAGATATATTAAAATCTGTAAACTCTTTTCTAACATTTTCCAGCACCAGTGACTAGGTAGTTTTTATTTTGGCGATTTAGTATGTATATCATCATCATCATAACCATCATCATCATCATATCATTATCTTTATCATCATCATCATTATCATTATCACCATCATCATTATCTTTATCATCGTCAGTGTTTTTTCTGATCTTATTGCTGGGAATTTTTTTTTCAATGTCTCTTTCTTGATTATTTTAATGATTGTCATTTTTGCATGAGGATCTTTTTTTTTAATAATTTTAACTATGATTCTAAATGTGTTTTTTAACACTGAATATTTTAACATATTGTATATATTTCGTGTTTTACTTACTTTAATATCATCATCACCATCATCTTTCCGGAGAAGCACACCTTACCGGTGACAGCGTTTTTATATTTTTGCTTTTCCTCAGATATTCTTTAGATCTTTGTGTTTTTTTTTTTATTTTTTGCCCAAATAAATGAAATAAAAATATAATGAAATAAATGAATCATGTCATCATCATTTAATAAAATAAATAATATCATTATACTGCAGGACATGATCAGGTAATGGAAACATTAATGAGGAAGGGTGCCGTAGTGAGTGCCACTGACTATCATGGTTCAACTCCTCTACATCTAGCTTGCCAAAAAGGGCAGCAGGGGGCCACGGTAGGTTACGCACTTATGTGTCTGTTCTCATCAAGTTTATTTTTTTTCCGTTTGCTAAATAATACACCAGTATTATTTTTTTCAAGTTAGAACATTCAGATTGATTCTCTAGACAGTGAGTCAATTTCCCAAACAGTAAGGCAGGGACGCCGCAAACTACAGCTATAATATTCGCGCTGGTTGAAGCGGCACACTCGCCTGTGGTTCCTGGTGATGGAGTAAGACTTATTGGATAAGGATTATAAACTGTACGCACAGTTTACAAAATTGGCTTGTATGCACTATAGAAAACCCAGTACATCTTTCGAGATGAATGGGGGTTACCCCGGTGTACTGGTCAATACAGCCCCTGTTGTGGACAGATGAAAGTAGCTGGTCCCAGTTTACTCAGTCACTAATGAGACACTTAGGGGAGAAGCAAATTACTGTAGGAGCTAGTCCAGGCTTCCAGCACTAGGGAGTCCCTGGTGTAAATTGTGCTATCTGTAAATCTAACTAACTCACATTACAAACAAAAGCGCAGCCATCCCATGGTAAAACAAGGTAACTGCTTTTATATTTTTAATTGACGTCGTTTTGCCATTGAACGGCTGAGCTTTTGGGAACAAATCCTGGAATTTGTGATAAAAATGTTAAGACCGAGAGTTGCCAACACCTTTGAGTGTTGGCTTGTCTCATTTTTGTATCACTTGTTTTAAGTGTATGAGAACACAGTATTATGTGTTAAGTGTATATTAAACCTTCAACCTTTTCCTGTAATGTGACAGTCACTGTCCTTTTTTTTTTTTTAGTTGTTGCTTCTTCATCATGGAGCTGACATTAATGCTGATGACAATGATGGAAACACTGCCCTCCATTTGTGTTGCGCAAATGGACATGAGGAGGTATGTAGATTATAAACTGTACGCACAGTTTACAAAATTGGCTTGTATGCACTATAGAAAACCCAGTACATCTTTCGAGATGAATGGGGGTTACCCCGGTGTACTGGTCAATACAGCCCCTGTTGTGGACAGATGAAAGTAGCTGGTCCCGGTTTACTGGGTAGCTCAGTCACTAATGAGACCCTTAGGGGAGAAGCGAATTACTGTAGGAGCTAGTCCAGGCTTCCAGCACTTGGGAGTCCCTGGTGTAAATTGTGCTATCTGTAAATCTAACTAACTCACATTACAAACAATAGTGCAGCCATCCCATGGTAAAACAAGGTAACTGCTTTTATATTCTTAATTGACGTCGTTTTGCCATTGAACGGCTGAGCTTTTGGGAACAAATCCTGGAATTTGTGATAAAAATGTTAAGACCGAGAGTTGCTTGTCTCATTTTTGTATCACTTGTTTTAAGTGTATGAGAACACAGTATTATGTGTTAAGTGTATATTAAACCTTCAACCTTTTCCTGTAATGTGACAGTCACTGTCCTTTTTTTTTTTTAGTTGTTGCTTCTTCATCATGGAGCTGACATTAATGCTGATGACAATGATGGAAACACTGCCCTCCATTTGTGTTGCGCAAATGGACATGAGGAGGTATGTATGGATGATGGTGATGGTGGTGGTTGTGATGATGGTTGTTGTTGTAGTGATGATGGTTGCTGGAGATTGTGATAATGTGTGATGATATTGATGATGTTAATAATAGTGTAAAGAAGATAGTGATGGTGGTGGTGGTGTTATTGATGTTTTGATGATGTTGATAATCATGGCTATAATTATCATCATCTTCACTGTTAAGTGATAATGGTAAAGAAAGTGATGATAATGGTAATAATAGTGATAATTAAATTCATAATATTTATTGTGATAAAAGACAAAAGTGAGAGAGAGCAGCTTAGCTCAGTCAGCTAATCTGGTGGCAGCCACTGTGTGTGGCTGAACTTTGGAGATCTCTAGGTCCCCGGTTAAATTCCCATCGCTGCCTCTTCTTGTGTTTCAGCTAGACAGCTGCAATGTAAGTTACAATATCGCACTATCTTTCTGATGTGACGTGTAAGCCATTGGTCCTGTGTGTATTTATGGCCCATGTGCACGTGAAAGAATGCAGTGCACTCTTTGCAAAAGAGTAGGGGATTGTACTGCCCAATCACCACCAGAAGGACCCCACTGGACATAAGTCTTCTAGACTTTTGTGGGCTATCCTTGGTGTTTACACCGAATAAATCCAATCTAAATCAGTATTGAATGAGGTTAAGATACTATCTATGACGATAATGTTGATTATACTAATTATCAAAGGAATATACAGTGCATATATATTTAGTTTGCTGAATTTTATAATTCCATTCAATTTTGTATTGTCTTGACAGTGTGTGAAGGCCATCTTGTACTCTGAACAAGCTGTTAATAAAGTTGAGGTAAATTTTCCCAATTGCCGAGGCAATACACCTTTGCATGAAGCTGCTAGATGGGGATATGGTAAGAAGAACTCTGTTGATATGTCTATTATCTATATGTTTATTTATATATTTATTTATTTTTTAATTTATTTATTTGTGTCTTTGTTTGTTTGTTTATTCATATAGCACCTTTCTTTTCAAATATGAAGTGCATTTCTTTCTCGGGCAACCACACCAGGTAACAATTTTTATGAGCCTTGGTGGGGAGAGTCCATGCAGACAAAGTGGCTTGCTTAATGACACCAGCAAAATGCTTGGCAAGGGCTTAAAATCCCTGACTTGCGGTTGAAAAAGCTAACCTTTCCTCTGCTGCATTATACCACTTCCACTTCTGTATATCTATACTTATATTATATTTATACCCAAAAACACAGTCAGTGACCAAAACATGACAATGATGGGTCATTTACTGGAGTCAAAGTTAAGAATTAAAAGTATCATGACTTCTCTGTACTTAAAGTATACAATACTACCACATTTTAATGTAATTATTAAGTTTAACATACACCAACATTACGCTGGTTTTGGGACACTTGTGTGTTTGAATGGGACCAGTTGATCTTTTTGTGTATTTGCATGTAATATTTGTCAGTGTACTAAAGTTATTTGATAGTCAGTCTTATCTATTTTGTCTGCCTTCTTCCAATTTTGGACAATCTTCATACTTTATCACTGTTTAAGCCCACGTCTGAGTAGATTGTAAGAATGATGTTTTTCTAATTCTGGACTAACATCACTGCTGAGGCCTTCTGTTTAACCACCTCAATAATTTCCTGTCATGAACCCCAAATTGTGGATGTGTAACATCATTTTTTTCATTTTTTCCATTATATTTGTTTTTATTAAATAATTTGATTATATATTTTCTACATTTAAAACTGGCAATGTAAATCTTAAGAATCCATGGAAGAAAGTAAAGTGCCAGTCTGTAATCTGAGGAACAGGTCCAAACATCTTACCTGTTGATCAGTCTGTATTTTTGTTTGTCTGTCTATTTATATTTTTCTGTCTACTTTTATCTGTCTGTCGCTCTCTTGTCTTTCCATCTGTTCAATTCCTTTATTTGGCTTTATCACCCTACATGCTTCTTTCAGAAACTATCGTTCAAATTTTGCTGGAGCATGGCGCTTCAGTTGAAGCCCGCAACCGCCGAAAAGAAACCCCACTGATGCGTTCTCTAAATGTAAATGTTTCCAAACTTCTGCAGAGGGCAGCAGACATTGTCCGGGATGGTCAGGATTACTTGTTGATGATGGTAATTACGTAGAATTATACAAACTTATAATCCGAGACAAGTAAAAAGATTAGGTTTTCCTTGGTTGTAACAATATACACCATGTAACCTGCTCTGCGTTCTCTACAACCCTCCTTTGGTGTATCTTGTAACAATTCATGTTGACACTTAACCATATATTCTTGCATATAAGACAAACTCTAAATTGCAAATAACTATCGAATAACAGGGATTGTCTTGTATGCACAGTACATACACATTTTTTATTTTTAAAGCATGTTCGTCTTATGTGCAGATCGTCCATAACACACAGGTTTAGTACTGAAATTAAGCTACTAACTGGTAATATGAATGAATGTAATTTTAAATGCGGGGAAATAAGATTTTAATGAATATTTATAAGCCCATAAAATGGTATTATTTGGAACTTCAGCCCTACTTTTAGCCAGCTAGATGCGGTATCAAGACCATAAGGAGGAGCAATAAGTATGAATTATGACCGAAACAAAGGGTTTGTTTTGTACGCCTGACATACAAAATTGTCTAAAAGTCTTCTCAAACTCGGGGGGTCATTGCATACCTGAGAATACACAGTGTTAACAAAGTGTTAACATTTCCAACCATAATTCAATTTGCCTATCATTAAGAATATAGATTAAGTGCACCCACACTAATGATCAGGAAATTTGTAAACAAATAGGCATTCTACCGGTTAAATATCATCTGCCATATGTTTTTCGTTTAACAGTCTTCAAGCCCTGATAGTCATCAATCAATTAGCAATGAAAACAAATCCTTAACCACACCACTTCGGAGGAGGCAAGGCGGAATGAAAATATCACCACAACAAAGAGCTAGAGAGGTATGTCTGAATATATTAGATTTTATCCATCCTGAAACAAGGATCTTCATTACTTGTTTACTTGTATCCCTCCAGGTATTTTTAAGCAAATGCTATCGACTTCCATTGAGGCAAGTATATGCTTATCCCCCATTGTAATCGTGTCATACTTTTCAAACGGTGTGAACTTCGACCCAAGCCTACTCCTTCATGACAGAATTTTACACACCCACAATGTAACTTTGTTTTATAAATACAACTTAAAAATAATATCAGCAAAAATCAATATCAGCAAAATGACATCATAATATTATACCAATTAGGCAAGATATTTTTTATACCTTGTTTACCGAACCTGTCCCCCCGCCAATAATGGTGATTTCGAATAAAAATAAGATTTTGTTTTTGGCCAATTAGCCTTGCCTTATCATCAACATTTTATTGTCATCAACATCTTCATTGTCTTCAATGTCCTCCTCATCAATATGTAATATATCAAGCTTTCATGAATGTAATTATCATCATCGTCATCATCATCATCATTGTCATTATCATCATTTCTATTTTACTAACAATGATTTTGGTATTCCAGGTGGAAAAACTGCTTCGAGCTGCAGCTGATGGTGACATCCAGATGATCCGACATCACCTGGGCTGGGAGAGTGACAGCGATGACAGTGACATTGATAATATTACTCCCAACCTGCAACTCTGTCACCCTCTTTGTGTATGTCACAAATGTTCAGCTCTGCAGAAGGTAAATGGTATTTGATGTGACAAACATTTTTTTAGAAATTTTTAAACATACATGTACATCAAAAATATAAACCATAACAGCCTGAGGCTGATGTACCGTTTTTCTTGCCCCCAAATACATTTCTAATCTCCTCCAACATAAATCTACTCCTCACCTTCTTAGATCATCTAACAAGCACATTCTTAAACAAGGCAGGTGGAGACATACACACCTGGGTAAACGTACATTCTTATGTGCCACCCCTACATTATGTAATGCTCTTTCTCTTGAGATCAGTACTTCATCTTCCAGTCAGTATGTTTAAGAAAAAGTTGAAAACTTATCCCTTCTCCATCTCATTCTAAAGTTTCTTTTTGACACACATGTAAATTGTTTTTTTTTTTAATTTTCTTTTTTTCATAATCTTACAAGTATTCTTAATAAATATCAGTAGTTAATGTGCACATGGAGTAAATGCCATTGTCATAGCATTCTGCCGTGGATATTAGGGCTATATAAATCCTTGATAGATTGATTGATTGAATGATTGAGATATGGTTTTGTTATCAAAAATTGTGTTCAATGCTATGGTAAGATTACTATGGCCATTTGAAAAGCTGTTTTTATTATGATACTATTGCTATTATTGTTGTTATTAGCTTTTGATGCCAATACTCCTGAACCTACTAAAAAGCCTTTTTAATGTTGTATCCGTATTGTCTCATTTCCTTATGTTTTTGTACACACTATTCACAGAAGTAGTTACTAAAATTTTGCATCAGAGTTTTTGTGTACAATATGTATGGACATACTGATTATACAGTACAATAATATGTCAGTATCTTAATGCTATTTCTTGTTTTGTTTTTTCATCAGAGAACATCCTATGGTGTAGGCGATATTACAGTTAATACAAGTAACGCTGATGGTTTTACGCCCCTACACGTCAGCGCTCTACATGGTCATGACAGCCTGGTAGCATTGTTGTTGCGCAGAGGGGCGAATCCAAATGTTCGCAACAGCTCTCATCTCCAAATTACCCCACTACACATAGCATGCAAGGAAGATCGACCTAAGGTAATAATCTTATTTAATTAAAATCTAATTTAAATGAAAACGATTTGTTTGGTGCTCATATTTATTAAAAAATGAGCGCCAAAGCTCCTGAGAAAAATAAAACTCTGCCCGCCAACTGTTTTTCTAACAGCATTTGTTTTCCTCTCAATTTTAGAGTTTTTTCACGTCTATATTTTCCTTTTAGTGTTTGATGTTTATAATTAAAACTGTATTTTTATTGGCATTGAACGTGTAATGTGATGTTTATGTAAATTTCTTTGAAGATTCTTTAAAGGTTCTTTAATCTTGCCGAGTAATTCAATTTTCTGTTTATATTTTATTTTATTATGTATTATTACAGACAATAAAAGTTTCTTAAATCATGAATAACCTATTTCCCTTAACGGTCACCTGTTCCCCATCCAAATTACGATGCAAGTCATACACCATGAAATGTATACATCATGCAATTTGTCTCTATTCCACAATGCATAGATCCAACAATGAATTACCACTTCAGAAATTATGGTACTTGAGACCCAGATCAACCAAAATGAATTTATTCATGCATTGTGTAATAGATCTAGATTATATATAATTTCATGAATATTTTTATTATTATTCATCATATCTCTTTAGGTTGTCCAGCTGCTGTTAAATCACGGAGCTAAATGCAACAGCAAAGATGCAAGAGGAAACAGCCCATTGCACTACTGTTGCCTGGCAGGTCATTTAATGTGCTCTACTATTCTCATTGAGGTAAGACTGTTAACTAGTATGAATTATATAATATTTTTCCAAAAGCTAGCAGCAATTATTATTGCAACAGTTATTAAAAATATAAATACATCAAAATTGAAAAATCTATATGAAGAAATAATGTGATTATTATTGTGACAATTAAATTGAGAAAAAAAAATACATTTAAAGAACAAATCTGCATAAAAATCTATTGAAGAAATTGAGAAAAAAAATAAGTCATTCTAAAGCTTATGAAGCAACCAATCAAGTAAGGACTTGGTGAGTCTATTTCGTGAATACTTACCTGGATAACCGACTAATTGCCATTGTTCCCAAAACGGAACACCCCTTCGAAAAAAATGGAACAGTCCGACCCAAGGCGCCACATGCCAACCGTCTCCCTAACAAACGTCCTCATTCCCTTTTCGACGTTGTTCGAAGTTGGATACATCCTAGCCTTTGGAAAATTACTAGCAGTCTTTTCAAGTCTTTTCGAGGTAGGGGGCGCTCTATTGAAAATCGAATGGCGTTAGGAACTCTTACAAAATTGCGTTCGAAACTCGAACATGCGTTTTAGAGACGCAGCACGCGTTCGACACGAACGCCTTTACCGTCATTCGAAGGACGTCCTCTAGAACATGGTAGTACTTTTCAAGATCAACGACATAACGCGGTAACTGCAAGAGTTACTCGTTTTTTTCACGTCTGAAAACCCAATTGTATAGTAGTGTATGGAATTATTACCAAGGCCGTACCTAGGGTACTTAGAGAGGTTAGTAAACTTGCAAATTTACTTTACTATTTACTTTTTAGTATATTGTATATTATTAATATTCGTATAAAGGCCCCAGCCTTGGGCAGGCCTAGACCTTTACCTACCATGCTAACACCTGCGTGTGGCCTGCTAATGCTGCTAATCTGAAAACCAAAATAGGTTTAGTCTAGGCCTAGGGCCTAGGCCTTCAGCGTTCTTACAAATTTTTTCTACACTAGGGCCTAGTACTAGACTAAGCCTAACTATTACCAAAGGCCGTATCTAGGCCTAGGCTTACCGGTAGATAATAACATTGCAAATTTAGGCCTATTTTACTAATTTACTAAATTATTAGGCCTTGGCCTATAGCTAGCTAGCTAGGCGACCTTGTTGTTGTAGGACCTTTACCTACATGCTAAATACGTGTGTGTCATGGCCTGCTAACCATGACTTGCTAGGGTAAGGCCAGATTTATTTTCAAAAATACTAAACCAAGGCATATGCTATTTTTTCCCAGGGTTAAAGTATCCATTAAATAGACACCTCATTCAGAAATTACATTGCATGTCATAGGCCTATCCCATTAAACAAAACATTTCCCCTAGGATAAATCCACATACATAAATCCACATGTTCAAAGTTAACATGTACGCCACCACTTTATTGCTTTACATTAATATTTTATTCTTATGTATGTTCATTTTCAGCCTTTCTATGTCATTAATTGACCTGTCTCTTTCTTTGCAGTGATGACATCACACTTCTAACACACTCGGATGAAGTACTTCGAGTCTGAATAAGCGCTGAAATTTTCAAGGAGATCCACGCTGGGGGAAATCTAATTGAATTGCTCACTAAATATGGACTCCGGGTTCATTTCTAAAATAGCGATTGCTTAGATATTAGGCCTTGCATTATTTTGTTACCACCCCCACATTATTATTATCATTGCATTTAATCATGTATATCTTATGTTGTGTGGGTACCTATGATGGCGTATCCGGCAATAAAATAAATAGAATAGAATTGAATAATAAAGTGTTTTTAGTGTAATATAATGTATAATGTGTAGATGAAATATGATAGTGTAAATTGAAATGCATTATTCTTGGCACATTCAATGTGTTATAGTACCCTGTACACATCATAGTGGAGAGCTTTGAGTTTGTTGAACTGTGAATTCTAAATAATAGCTACTTCTAAAATTATGCACGTGCTACTTGAACCCAAATTTGATGCAAGAAGGGTTTTACATTGTAAATAAGTGTACAGTAATACTAATACTATTATATAATATAATAAAATATTTTACATAAACAACAACTTTAACATGTTTTTTCAAATCTTTCGTTATGATTTACTTAATCATCATTAAGGCTCCACCTCATACTTTGTATTTATTTCTACATACGCATTCATGCATTCCTTTTATTCGCATCAGTTTACTTATTTTAAGCAAGAAATTCAAAACAGTTAGGCCTATTCTAAATTGTAAGCATCAAGTCTATTGTGATTTTGTAAGGATATACTTACTGTACAGTACTGGGTATTAGCAATAAGCCTTTTCTTTTTCAGGAGCGGATTTAGGGTGGGGGGCGGGAGCCTGGGCCGGCCCCAGGCCCTTTTGAAAAGTAAAAGGAAAAGAAAGAAAAGGAATACTCGATCGCCCGAAATGCCTTAGAGGTAATTTTAGGGCATCTAAAAAAATAAAAATTTTGCCGGACCCCCTAGGACAGTGTTGACTCGATTAGGCCCCAGTTTCCTCCCCCTCCCAAACATCTCTGGATCCACCCCTGTATCAAGCTTTTCTCTTCCTCTGTACATTAGGCATGTCTGTGTATGTAAAAAGGTAGTGAAATAGTCATCTGGTAGGCTTAAGTACCCTGAAACATCATAGTTTCATAATGAAAAGCTTCAAATGGGTTTTTTGACCGGTAGCTTCTGATTTACGATCAATTTGTAATTACACCCACTGTTAGCACCCAAAGTAGATGCGAACCAAAGGCTCAATTTTACAGAATTGTAATTAGAAGTCATCATTTTTCTGTAAATTCTGATTTACAACCACTTTGTAATAACACCCACTTGGACCCAAAGTGGATGCTAACCAGACGTTCAACTGTACACGGGCGTATTTTTAAACAGCACCACCAATGTCTAAAGACATCTTTTCAATGGGGGACATCCATCAGAGGAGCAGTAACAAAACAAACAGAAACACTGCAGGTTTATGTTTTTTTTTTTTGTTTTTTTTTTGGCATTTTGCTTTCAAAGTCAAGGCTACAACAAGAAAGACAGTCATTCACCATCCACAGATAAACATTGCTAACTAAGCAAAATGCTTGTGGATGTCCCACAGTGGTAGTTGCCAGGAAATTTTAATTTCAAATTTGGCAAAAATGATGTATGCACAGTTGCAATTTGCAAGTCATGATTTTTGATATGATGTAAGAGCAGCTTAGCTCAGTCTGCTAAACTGTTGGTAGCTACCTATGTGTGCACTGAATCATGGAGATCGCTGGGTCCCTGGTTCAATTCCCATCGCTGCTCCCATTGTGTTTCACCTTCAGGGCTGAACTGCAACTTACAATAGCGCACCGTCTTTTGGATGAGACATTTAAGCCGTTGGTCCTGTCTGCATTATGGTCCATGTGTACATTAAAGTACGCAATACACTCTTCGGAAAAGAGTTGGGGATTGTCTCCGGGAGTACTGCCTAATCACCCCCAGAACGACCCCTCTGGAGATAAGTTTTCTTCAGACTTTTGTGGGTTATCCTTGGTGTTCACACCTAATAAATCCATCCATCCATATTCGTTGTAGTAACAGAAGGTTCGCTGCATGATCAAGCAAAGCTATGGAGTTATTAAAGCTTGCCAGCAGAAATATGAAAGATAAGTGCTTCAGAATGATGTATGCTTATAAGGAGGACATTAGATTAAGTTAAAGGCTTTATGGAGAACAAAGGTCACATAAAGCACAGTACGATTGATGGCTTCAGCTAAGAGGCTTAGGTCTGTTAAAGGTACTGTGGAAAATATACCTTCAGGAACTCATTCCATATGAGGCATGTCCTCCTAAAACCAGCGTACTGTCGCTGATTGTTAAACTAATTATACGTAAGAATAATTAGCATATAGAATGTGGGAGTATTGTATACTTTGTTTGTTGCAGAGTAATATTTTTACTCATAACTCTGGCAATATTAACTCGATTCCAGTAAGTGACCCATCATTTTAGACCTTAGAATGTGCAGAATATGAATATACTCAAAGGCCAATTTTCTAGTTTTGGTCACTGATGCTTGTTTGGCATGGCAAGCCCCATATTCATTGAAATGTTTCAATGCTCCAGTTACAATCCAAGTGAAGTTAGCATTAATATGCCATTCACAACACATTTTTTGCTCAATTCATTTTAATGACTTTGATAAATTGTATTATTATTTTCATAACTTCAAGTCCATACAAAAATAAACAGTTTTTTTTATATATTGAAACTAAGATTAATATATTCCTGTGTAATCCGTATATAATTTTCTCATTTTATATGTGCACTATAATTGTGTATAGATAGTTACAGTATAAGTAAATGAAATCTTTTCCACTCCATATTTCTATTTTTCTGAACTATGAAGACTTTTGTGAATTTAGTGCTCGAATGATAATATAATAATAGACCTAATGGTATTATATTGTATTTATTATAATTGAATTTTCAAAGTGGATGGATATATTTGGTGTAAACACCAAGAATAACTTATGACAGCATGAAGAAGACTTATTTCCCATGGGGTCGTTCCAGTAGTAATTGGGCAGTACATCGGGGGAAACCCCTACCCTGAAGCGTGTACTGCATTCTTTAATGTACACATGGGTCATAGTGCACAAAGGACCAATGGCTTAAACATCTCATCTGAAAGACAGTGCACTATCGTAAATTGCATTTCAGTCCTCCAGCTGAAATACAAGCAGCGATAGGAATTGAACCGGGACCAAGGGATTTCCACAGTTCAGCGTGCACACAGTCGCTACCACAAGTTTAGCCATGTCCTCAGAACTTGACTTTACACTGGTAAAACAGACATTGAAACAATAAAATATTACAAGAGAAAACATTGCAGCTGCGGTTGGTAGAAGCCTGGGCCAAAGCCTGACACCCAAAAAGGACACATACAACTGTATCTACCATGGACAAGCATCTCATTCAGAATTGTTGTGTTACAATTAATTTTCACAGTGCACAGTCAGTGCACCAATCAGTTCCATAACTTATACATCACTTTCACAAAAAATTAAATTTAAAAAAAATTAAATTTAAATTAAATTTTGACTCTGAAATATGTCTTGATGGGTGAGACCATGTAGGCCGCTGTTATTCAAATGAAAACTTGTAGGCCTATGTCAATTTTAGCCAACACAGTGTGACTGTTTACAAGATAGAATACTGTTACAAGATCAAAGACAGAAACAAGGGTTACATAACAATGAAGTTCAACAACCGGGGATAAAATCAGTATATGTTTCTTTAGACAGGAAATAAAGAAAATTCCTGTGCTTTTACGTGTCAAGAAGAGTATATTGTATTGGTATGATCCTTTGATTCACTTTGTAGTGATGGCAAAGTAAGATAGATAAGTTTTCAAAAGACTGTTAATGTCATCTGGCCATTGATTACATTAGCCAGTGGATGTCATTTGGCCGTTGATGTCATCGGCCGTTAATGTCGTTGGCCGTTGATGTCATTAACCAATTGTGTCATTGGCCTCTGATATACAATTTATTAGACAGTGTAAGTGTTTAATTGTTTGTGGTTTTCAACTTATTAGTGTCTAATCTATGTTGATCAGTTGATGGAAAATTGAATTATATTACTTGCATTGTTCAATTCAGTTTGGTCATTTGGTGTCTAATTTAATAATAATAATTTGTAATTAACTATAGTTCGTTGCCAAATGAGATTTTTAACAGTGTTGACTTTTAGGATATACATTTACAGGGAGGGAAGTGAAGCTTGTTGACAGGGTCTAATATGTTGGGGCAGGGTGCACGGATGATGCTCTGGTGGGTCTAAAGGGTTGTATGCTTAGAGAAAATGGGCTTATTTGAGCCATTTGAAACTGTTCTGATACACAACAATATTAAAAGTTGTTTAAAAAAACAGAAAACCATTTTTATTTTTTTCATTTTTGTTTTGGTGAGAAAGTACTGATAGGGGTGTGGCTTGTGTCTTGTGGTGGTGTGGCACAACGGTGATGAGGCACAACGGTGATGATGTCATCTTGATGTTAGTAGTTGTATTGATGGTGTAGGAGATGAAGACCATGAAGGTGCCCATGATGATGACAGTGAATGATGGTACTGGTACTAGTACAGACATTTATAATGCACCTCTTCCTTGTGGAAGCGAAGTTCTTTTCCCTGATCATTATTACAGTAAATATGAAAACGACAGTATGATTGGACAACAATATTACGATCTTTACAGCATGGTGCTAATGTTAAACAAGCCAACGCCAGAGGCAATGTACCCCTACACGAGGCGGCCAGAAACAACTATGTCGAGCTGGTTAAGGTACTTGCAAATAAATCTCCAGCAACAGTTCTGTGTAGAAATAAGGCACAGTTGACTCCCATTCAACTGTCTCAGGTAAGATGCAAATTATTTTACATACATACAGTACATACAGTACATAACATCATATACAGTAGCGCTATTTCATGAAGATCAGAGCGTTTAAAGCGTGGACTACAGTAGCTCATACGGTATCTTTCTTCTCCCCTAAGGATCCCTTCATGCCCGAGTTGTCTGATAAGGTGGTAACAGCTTGCTGCTCTTGTCTGTCTACAACAGGGGCTGTATGGACCAGTACACTGGGATAACCCCCCCCCCCCCCCGTTCGTTTCTAAAGATGTACTGTGTTCTTTATAGTACACATAAGCCAATTGTTCAATTCCTTCAGAACCATATTCGAGCATGCTGTTTGAACCAGTGCTGATATTATACTAGGTTGGGCGCTCCTGCCTTTACCGCTAGCCTATTCGACTCGCTGCTTAATTGAGGATGTCTTTATTACTTTAGTCACGAAAAATATTTCTGTATTTTGTAGTGTAATTAGTAATATCTCCAGAAGCTTCAAAATGCTGCCACATTTTTTTTGCAAACTACTTCTTATAGTCTGCAAATCTCTTTTGGGTTGCTTCGAGCGTGAACTCCCCTAAAAACAACATGACTATATCACAGTACACTGTATACAAATTACTTATACAATGATGCCAACATCTTTGTTGATTTGTGTAAAGCCTGGTCTCAATGAATTTGCTACACTCTCGCTACAGCAATTGCTACACAGCTGGCCTGCCCACGACATAATTGTTAAGGCTCCCCGATTCAACAGACCAATCAGCATCGCCAGTAGCAGCTGTCGGCAAGAGTGTGAGCAATTTTATGGAAACCAGACCAAAGTCAGTGTTGTAATCAATCAGGATTCCATGAATTTATTACGGACTATTTATATATAGCGTAAGCCAGTAATATTGAGGAAAATCAGGTGGATCAGTGAAGGATCAAAGATATTGAAATAGATGGGGCCTAGGGAGGGACTAGTGTAAACCAAATCATGGTGGGGCTGAGGCAAGAAAATAGATAGCCGGAAATGGCACTCTTAAACTGAATATAATCTTCTATCCTTCTATTTTATTTTAATTTGAGAATGGTGGGTGGGGGTGGGGTCCCCAATCCCTTGAATCCACCACTGATGTATGGTACCATATTGTAGAACACCAAGAACCAATAGTATCATCATCATTTGCATATTTCTTTAATGGATGAATCTCATTGGTACGTACAGTATTGACTGTTTAAACAATCAAATTAAATATTTTGTTCGATAAATCAAGGGAATTGATGTAGCAAATTGCTTATGTTGCCTAGGACTCAACGCATTTTTTGGATTTGTAAAGACACAATTTACTGACACACATTTTAAAGTAGATTTTATGCCTTATCAAGGTTGATGGATGTCAAACTAGCATTAATTTACAATCATTAGCATGTCCTAACTTTTTTTTTAACCTAAAATACTTTTGCGCTTATATCAGAGTTAGTTGACATAAAAATAGCATTTACTATTATTCTCATTAGCTAATAACTATCCATTAATTATCGTATTCAATTCTACACGAGATATTCAGTATTTTAAAATATTACATTGCCGTTTAATAGTCTGAATGCCATATTTTTTATAGACTGTAGACCCGTAAATTGGGTGGCAGTCACTGGGGAACTGTTTTTAAATATTCAAAAATCTGTATTTTATTTGCCATTCCCCAGTTTTTCATCAAACAACTTTTTTTCTGTCTTAGAAAAATTAGTTCTACAACATATCAAAAAATGTTTTTCCTCCGGAGCTTGACTCAGCAGTATTATTTTTTTGTTCTGAATTCGGCCATTTTAAATAGGGGAAGTTGCGTAAGAACATAAAAAATTTGACTTAAAAAAAATCAAAAACGTCAAAGTGGGCAGTACTTGCCCTGTTTTTCTGGGCTCAAGAACACAGTCCCAGGGTAGTACAGGGCCCGAAGAAACCTTAGCAAGGGCCCTCAGTCCTTTTTGAATACGCCAATGCTGACAGTGAACATTGTCATTAGTTATTTAAAGATTGTAAATCAACTGAAATTAAATTGATTTGATCTGTGCATATTTGATCCTTTTATGAGTAATTTAAATTGAATGTTTGAGGAGGAATTTTTATCCCTTGATTTTACCATAGAGACTTAAATTTGGAATCAAATGAACTAATGTGATATTATCCTATAAGTCTGACGTAAAAAAAAATTCCTATGTACTAAATTTACGAGGTTTTTTTTCCCATTGATTTTACCACAGAGACTTAAATTTAAAATCAAATGAACCAATATGATATCCCATATGTATGATGTAAATGAAACTCCTATGTACTATAATTAATGATGCTGATGTGTGATTTATCATTCATCAGAGGATTTAAAAAAATAACTTATACTACCGTATGGCTTTCGTTACTTGATATTAGTTACTTATAGGACTATAATCAAATAGTAAATCGTTCACCATCATTGATCATATAGTCGATGACAACCCACAACTCCCTCATTGCCTAAAAATATATATATACATTTTCGGCAATAAGGGGTTTGTGGTATATAGTTGCTTGCTATCAATCCCAAGGGTTCGGGTTCAATTCTGGCGAAACATTTGATTATTCTTCTGTCAAATATCAACTCATATTATTCCTTTGCTGAGTGATGGTGTGTCATCAAATATGGTGTAATTTAGATAAATTTTGAATGTGCTGATGCTTGCTGTTTTCTGGTGTTACTGGCGTAGACAAGATTTGGTTACTGTAATTCACCTTTTAGGGGTGTCATAAAACATTAAACGTCTGCAGAAACCGTTCCACTGGAATCGTTTACTGTTCACCACACATCGCACTCAACTAACCGACTTTAGAAAGAATTACCGGTTGCCAGTTGAACATAAATTTAAGATTTTAGTTTTTTTTAATTACATTTCCGGCATGTCATTCAGTCAAGCTTAACAATTGACCAATCAGAATGGAGGATTTTATTTGCAAATTATACAAAAAAAAGAAATACTGAAATACTAATAGTTTGATATTTTTACCTTTTGTATCTTTTTAAATTTAAAAACTTTAAAAAAGAGCTTGTATGATAATTTATTCATTTTTAAAATTTTTGTACACTTAAAAAATTAAATCAATATTAGCAGTTTTGTTTTTTGAATAACAAAGACACAAGGATATGCTGAAGCATGCGAGAGGCTGAGAAATAATTCAGTGACTTTATTTGATAATGTAAAAAAAATTATTTATTTATATTGAGGTTTTTTATTTACAAATTTCAAAATAATAAATGCAGCTATTATAAGAGCTAGCAATCTATTATTCATGTAGTTATACCTTTTGTGTCTTTTTAAATTTAAAAATATACAAAACATGTTTACACTACTTCAGTTTACCGGAAATTGCTTCCAGCGGCACGATCCACTATCAGTCGACAAGAAACGTAAAGGTCAAAATTCAAGTTCAAATGATGTGTTATTGCCTTAAGATTTTTCTTGTTTATTTTTTCAGGTTTATTAAACCCTGCAAAACTTGTTGTTTAATATATTCAACACTTGTGTTTTTTACAATGCACTTGAACATTAAATACTCCTTGAATTGTATAATCCGGTGATCACATAAACTTAATTCTGATGTTGCTAATTCCTGTATTGGCATACACCGAATCAAACCAGGCCCTTGACACTTTTTAAGTAGACAGTTTACTCTGATAAATGACAGAATAATTGAAATTTAACTTATAACAAGGTTTTAGGAAGATTTTTGTCATCTTTGATCGAGCAAATCTGCTTTTATCGATATCGTATAATATTTTGAATGAAGTCGATAACAGTAATATATTAGTAATAATAATAACAGTAAAAAAAAGGACGGTTAGAGTATTCTAACCGAGACGTTGGGACATTACAATCCAAATGGTTCTTCTCAGATCCAAAAATAACTTAAATTGAGATTTGTGGCATATGCCCCAGGGTTTACCGAAAACCTATAATTATTTCATTTTCATTTAATTTTTTTTATTTGCACAAACGGCCCAGTTGTTGCGTCAGAGCGCCATAACACCATAACTAGTGCTCGCAGCCCCTGCAGCATAAAGTAGGGTACCATAAAATTTACAATACAATGACCTGTACAATTAATTTTTTTCTAATTTACAGAAACATTAAAATTTTGAAATAAAAATTGGTAATTATACAATACAGTGAAAATTAATTTTAAAATTTTATGTATAAGTAAGTACAAATATGCGCATTATAAGCAATTATTCAATTTCCAAGAAATTTTTCAATTATTCAAAATTATTATTCAGTTATTCAATCTAATTGATACATTAATGGGGCGTACATTAACAGTACGCTGGGGTTGCGGGGGAGAGAGGTAGAAAAATTTTACACTTTTATGCATAAAAATGTTGATTTAAAATAACATGCAATATGTAAAATTATAATGTAACCATGGATATAATAGTTTTTTGCAACCAAGTAGATTGCTTTAGTTGATTTCACAAAAAAAGTGCAGAATTGTTTTTAGCAAAATCAACATTTTTTTGTACACTTTCAGTGGGAAGGGAGGGGGTACCGAAAAAAGAGTACTGTTTGTACGCTTGTGAAAATGTTGATAATTGTAAACGACCCCTAAACATTTTTAAAAAACATTGGGAATATTCAATCCAGATTGATTATCGTCATTTGCCATGCCAAAAACCTTTAAGACTTATTGTATTATAAGAATAATATTTTGTTGTTATATAGTGGATTATGCCAAGCAGTAGATGCACCTCAAGGGGAAGGGCACCTCAAGGGGAAGGGCATGAGAGGAAATTTATCTCGTAGTTCAATTCCTATAACCCCCCCCCCCCCCCCACTCCATCCTGTTCCCCAGAAAGAAAATTTACAGCACAGGTATATTCAGGGCTGAAAAAAGTGCATAATCGCAAGACCAGTTTCCAGAGGCATTGTGTTTGCTTAGAAGCATTTTAAACCTGTTTTTTTCTCATGTACAGCAGCCACCCCTTTTGGGCTTTGTG